CTATGAGTTGTCCACAACTTGATGGCACTTAACAACAACAACGACATAGAGAGAGCTCTGTTGGCCTAGAGGATAGAAAGTTATGCTGCCAAGCCAAACATGGGTGATTTTAATCTGCAGCCCTCAGCCTGGTTTTAACTGTTTCTGGTCAAACATTCTTCTAAGTGGTATAGCACTGGTCTGTCCATTTGCTGTACAGAAGTAACTTGTGGTTGCTGTGATGCTAAACACTGTGACACTAATGTGTCAAGGTGCATTGCCATGGGAAAGTCTGCTGTTAGGGACCTCTCCAAAGTACTGAAGAGCAATGGTGTCTCTCTGGAGACTAAGGTGTTTCTGATATAGGCCATGGTCTTCGCAATCGCCTGTTATGCATCAGAGAGTTGGACAATGACCAAGGAGGATAGAAGGAGAATTGATGCCTTTGAGCTGTGGTGCTGGAGAAGAGTACTGAGAATACCATGGACTGCTAGGAAAACAAGCAGATTTGTCCTGGAAAGGGTTAAACCGGATGGCTCCTTGGAGGCAAGGATTCTGAGGCTCCGTCTAACATACTTTGGACATGTTGTGAGGAGAGACCAGTCCTTAGAGAGGGACATCATGCTTGGGAGGGTGGAGGGACAGCGCAGGAGAGGAAGGCCGTCTATGAGGTGGATTGATTCAGTGACTGTGATAATTGGGACGGGAGTGTCAGAGACAGTGCGATTGGCACAGGACAGAGCGGTGTTTAGGGCTGTTGTACATAGGGTCGCTATGAGTCACAAGTGACTCGACGGCACATAACAACAACAACAACATGGTGAACAGTGTTTGGTGGAGCTCCCCAATCAAAACAAGCTTGGAAGCAGAAGTGGCATCCACTTCTGAAATAGCTTGTTTCCAGAAACTCTATGAACTTGGAGAAACAATGAACGTTATACATGTGTTCAGGTCTTTCATTCACAGGGTCACTATGAGTCATCTATAACTTGAGAGCACTTAACAGCACACGACAATACCAGGATAAATTTAATTTATCACTATTGTGTTGCTCTTCTTATAGAGATCACCTATCATATTGTCCTTTATTCCCAAGGTATCAAGTTAATTTTGTAATTCCCTTGTGGAAAAATTTAACTAGTACTTGTTATACTGAAAATAAGTCAGAACATCCACAACTTTCAAATCTTACAACTTTATTTCCGTTTTTAAGCATAAAATTGTTTACAATAACTATAATGTCTGTAAAGAGTAAAATTTTAAAATACAAAGATTAGTATTGAAAATTAATATTTTGTTACATTTCAGAACATTTAACAAGAAAACATAGATGTTTTGCATCCATTAAGTCCATTGCATCTTGTTATCTGAACTTTCCTTTAAAACAGCAGGAAAAAAAACCCCACCAAAAAATAGACTCTTAGAAGCCATTAAACCAACTGTAAGACTGTAAGAAAACAAAGTGAAGTGCAATACTATAAAAAGAAAAGCTCATAAAAATGAATTTTGAGGTATATTTATATAGATTAGCATAGTAAAAGGTTTTTTTTAAATAAAGTACAAAACATTCACTCTCCTTTAAAATCACTTAACATCAGAAGAGGAAAGTATCTCTTCTACAATAAGCTAACAGACACATACACACATTCCTGCAGTCAAAAACCACTCCGATCCAAATGACAATTGGAAGGCCCTCTATGAGGTGGATTGATTCAGTGACTGGGATAATTGGGATGGGAGTGTCAGAGACAGTGCGATTGGCACAGGACAGAGTGGAGTTTAGGGCTATTGTACATATAGGGTCGCTATGAGTCGCAGGCGACTCGACGGCACATAACAACAACAACAACCACCACCACTTGGGCTTCAGGATTCTGCCTGCTCTCTACTCAGAATTTGAATTATCTTTGATGTAATAGGAAACCCACACTCTCAACCCCTCCTCCAAAACAAACAAACAAACAAACAAAAACCCCAAAAAACACCTTCTTTATCTTCATCCATATCTTTTCATCTACATTTGGAAACAAATTGAGTCAAAACGAAATTCCATTTCACCTGGAAGGCAAAGACATCTTTTTCTCATGTTCTTGCTTCTCTGTGCATGTTTATTAATCCCCAGGTGCTTTTTGACCTCACACCAGCCATTCATCAATTTTCATCAGCCATTATCACCAGTCCCTGAAGCACACCTCAGTGAGCTGGCAGGAAAACTTGTAGAATCAGGTTTCACCGGCAGGCACTTGTGAAGCCCCAGTCTATACTTCAAAAATACAAACACACACACATACGCACCTATATATTTCTTTCAGGTTGTAAATTTCCCTGGAGTATGTGACTGCATTTACAATAGGCATTGTTAAAAATAAAATTCGAGAATAAAATCAGGAACTAGGATATTGCAATCCCAACAGTGAAGGCAAAAACAACCATAGGCAGCATTTCTCCGCAATGAGATCCTTAAAGCCAGGTGTTCTTAGGGTTCCTCAAAATGTGATCTGATTAAGGGCTTACTGAGAAGGTTGTGCTATAAATCACACTGTTAGTCACATGTATTCAAATGAGTTCCTACAAGGCTACAAAAGGGGAATTTAATATGGGAAACTGTTTACAGTGCTATCAATCGAGAAACAGAGTGGAAATGGGAGGAAATCGGCAAAGCAGCATGAGCTTAGTCCCGGGAGGAGGATGACTATATCAATTTAGTTGTTGATTAGCGCAGAGCCATGCTGTAAGGATTACACAGGATGCCGGGATAGGATAGTTTAGAAACCTGTTCCTTTCCAAAATGCAAAATTAAGAGGTTTCAAGAAGAAAGAAAAAATAGCATTCAAATACCATAAAATATATGGTTTAGTTAACCAATTTACAAATGTCTTTGATGTTCTATATACAAAAAAGCAAAGAAAATGCCCCCCTTTTTTTTTACTTTAATGGAAAATCCTGGGTTCAATCCCTGCAAAAGCATGGAATGCATATACCACTTCGAGTAATGTCACTGATGTATGTTTGACAACTAAATTACAAAGCTCTATCATATACTGTGTCTGAAAAGTGGCAATTATGGCCAATAAAATCAAAGAAAGAAAAAAACTAATTAACACTAACATATCATTATGACTCACTAGTACATAAAATCTCATGCCTGCTCTAAATTGGCAGCAACTGGCAAATCCCACAATTCCTAAGGATGCAGACAATAGTTTGCAAATAAGTGGAGCCATCAGAGTCACTGAGGCTCTTTGAAGCTTTAGCATTACTTTCTTAAATCAAAAGAGCCAAAATAAGTAAATGACTCGGAAATCTGTTCTCCTCTTCCCCACCGCAAATACCACTCAAAAACTCTGCAACTGCTTCAGTTTTTAACCATAGGGATAGTTGTGGATACTAAACAAATTCTAATTCCATTTGTGATCATAATAGGCGGGTGGGGAGAGAGAGTTTTGGAGAGAACATGGAATTTGGAGATTAAAGACCTGAGTTCAAATTCCAAGACAGGCATTAATTATCCCTATAAATTGGGGCAAATCAATTGAACCGTCATCAAATGGGGATAATAACAGTGCTTGCCTTAAAGAGTTGTTTTGTAGGGAGATGAGGCAAAATGAGTGTCTAAACATTCCAAAAGTGATAAAAACTTTAAAAATCAACAAAGCCAACCTGCATAACTGTGTTGCCTTCCCGCCATACACTGAAGTATGCTATCTAAGGCAAGCAGGTGGGAAAGCACAGCCATAATGCTGTCAATATTTGAACACAATGAAAGTGAACTGACCAATATTGTAGTTGTTATATGCAATCAAGTCCACTACAGACTCAAAGCGACCCTGTGAACAATCGCTCTGAACCTTGCTCTATCCTGAGTCAACCGCACCATCTTCAGCACATCTGATGTCATTGACACAATGACTGTGTTAATCTATCTTGACGAATGTCTTCCTCTCTTGTGTTGACTTTTTACCTTTCCAAGCATGGTGACTACTATAGAAAAAAGAATGCATTGCAGAGGGAAGCACTAGCTACATTTAGGACTTAAGGAATACAGAATTGAGTGCATATTTTTAACGTATAGAGAAAAATTTGGCAGAAAATTTTCAACAAGACAGCAAATCTGTCTTTTCATAGTGAGCAAACCTGGATCTTAAAGACCTCTGTGGCCTTGGGATTGTATGGAAAAGCATTTGGAGACTCTAAAAAAATTTAAAAATCTGAAATGCTACATGGCAACTGAAAACTAAGTTAGTATGTGCTACCAGAAGATTGAGGAACTAACTGAGGTGAACAATTGTGTCTTTTGGATTTCACTGTCGAGCAATTATGTGGCTCTCCAGGTCACAACAAAGACATCATGTAAGCCTGGAAAATGGCTTATCCTCAAAAACATTTTCTAGAGAAAGGATATTTCTGTATGTACACTCCAAATAGGGAAATACATTAAGAGCAACTAATAAAGTTTGACATGCTATCCAAATATAATATTGAAGATATCTGGAAAGAGTTTTTGAATCTTGTAAGACAAGCCAAGATATATGGAATTTATAAAATAAGCAATTCTAGAAAAATGAAATAAGGCAATAAGAAAATATGCATTACATCTCAACACAAAATATAACAAATGGAGGGAGGAGACCACAGAATGGATACCCCTCCCTGGCCTGACTGCCCGCCATCTTTGACAGCCTCGGCTTTGATTTTCTTGCCTCTCAGTCACCTGCACAAATCTTTGCCCCACTATGGTCTCCTGCAGGTACTCCCACTTCCAGTTATTGAGCTTTTACATAACTGATTTCACCTGTTGCTTCTCTGAACTCACTAAATGGTTCAAGAAATTAGCTCATCGGTTCCCGGTTTCTAACACAACTTAAGCATCTCACACCTCTCACTCACCAGATACCTCTTGGGCTGCAAACCACCACATGCCATAAAGAAGGGTGCAAGAACACGCCTTCAGTGCAACCCCCACACACTATAAAGAAGGGTGCAGGGACAAGCCTTCAGTGCAACCCCCACATGCTATAAAGAAGGGTGCAAGGCTAAGCCTTCAGTGCAACCCAGAAGAGAACTCATTTGCAAAACCAGCTCATAAGACGTTGCCTTGCTCAAAATTCCATCGAATCCTGACTCTCCATGGAGTCCTCTGGACCCACTGGGTCATATAAGCTTGCCTGTGGGCTTATAGTATTTTTTAATGCATTATGAGCATTCATGAACTTCTGAAGGTATTTGGAGGTGTACAACCAGTGGTGTTTCAGGACGTCTTCCATCTCGTAGCACTTGGACTGTCTGGCATTCATTTTCCGGAAGCGTCTAAATAGTTTGTTGCCAGATTCATTTCCTTCACTTGCCCAAGCTCCAATGGACCCATCCCTTTCGATAATTTCGGGGACATGTGCCAGGGTCTTATGAAAATAATTGGTTATTTTGCCCTCATATCTGTACTTGAACTTGGTAGAGAGTAGCTCAGCAAATCGCTGTGAGTTGAAGCTGTACTGGCACAGGGAGTCTGGGCACTCTTTAGCAGGGCATGATGAACGCCACACCGGTTTCATCTTCAGGTAAAGGTCCATCAGCTCCCGGAGAGCTTCGTGTCTCTCCTCAGAGGGAATTAATTCACATACTGCTTCCACTGTCTCTTTGGTCATAAGCTTCCGGGCAAAGTTGCCGTTCATCCTCATGATTGGTTTCAGGTTCATCCTCTTTCGGAGATGTTTGTCTAAGGTGGCCTGCCATCTTTTCCTTTCCTCTTTGGAAGCATTGGGATTCTTATACACTTCACCAATCTCTAGCTGGAAAATCTTGTAGAACTCAGCCGCATTGCCAATATCACAGTGGAGGGCATCTATGGAAGGAACTGTCTCAATAAAAGGCTTGGCCGAGACTCCTTTGACCCGATCCCGCAGCTCTTCCACTGACTCATGGAAAGGGTTGGAACGCCAGACCTCATAGCGTTCCAGGTTCTCAGCGTGGCTTCTGGTGATGGAGTGGAGGACGAGATTTTGGGAGGCTTCCAGGCGGGTGGCGTCACAGAGGGTACAAATGTAGACTGAGCCAGAAGCTTCAAGGCCCTCCACTTCCCGGACAAGTTTCTCATCATATCCAGTGCCCCTGAAGATGAACTTGAAAGTTCTGAGGACACCGCCCATCTCTAGCATTAACTCACTGCTCTTCATGGCCTCCCTCTCTGCAATGAGAGGGCTCAGGATCGCCGTCAGGGTCTCATGGTCGGACTCATCTGCCAGCATGAGGCACAGTGGCTTGCAACACAGCTCAGAATTCGGTTTGGCTTCCTCAAACACCTTCACATTCTGTGAGCCGTGCGCTATAGTGATATTCATGATTGTGAAAGAAAAACGAACTGCCTTTTCTGGAACAACTGGTCCATTCCCGTGTTTCTCACTCACATCTCCCATTCCATCACAAGATTCTTTCACCACCACGGTGAAGGGGCCATGCAGGTAGTCGTCAAGGTCTTGGGATTTCATGCCTTCCAAGATGTCTTCTTCCATGTCCATGAGAGCAGACACCAAAGCTGAGTCATAGCGGAACCTCTTTGCAATAGTGTCCACCGGATAGTCATCCACGGAGGAAGTCAGTCCAGACAGCCCATCAATAATGCCGACATCAGTTCTGGAAGATACGTTCTTCAGAGGTGGCTGCCACTCAAAGGGGTGGTAACCCGGCAGCAGGACTTTCTCAGCATTCCGAAGAGCGTGCAAAGGCTGAAAAATCTGCCTCCCTGTGATGGCTTTCACAGTCCTGTACATCTTGTGGTACTGGCTGCAGCTGAGAAAGGTGTTGACACGGATGGCCAAGCAGACAGCTGGCTGCAGGCCAGAACCTCGGCCCTGCATGATGGCCTCCAGCTCATCAGCTTGTCTATGCTCGTTCCTCGCCCTCAATGCCAGCAGAAACAAGGTCAGACACACGGACTTCACATCTCCACCTTCTTCTTTGTCAGCAAAAGCCTTGACTTGCATTTTGAGCTCCCTGAGACGGTGCTTCTGTGCTCTCCGAGTCAGGGACAGGAGATGCTGGCGGGGCCGGCCCCCCTTGTTAATATGCACAAAAGTCTCTTTCGATTCTTTGTGGCTTGAGACGTGGTGATTATATTTTTCCAGGCTGACCTCCTCTTTGCACTCACTTGCAGGGCATTTCACCATCAAGGAGTTTAAGATGCTCAGAAAGGACTTCACCGGGCTCTCCAGATCAGTAGGGAAGCAGGGATATTGGCAGGAGGGGCAGTAGCTGCCCATGACTTTGAGGCACCTGAGAATGCAGATCCTGCAAAACACATGCTTACAGCTAGTCTCCACAGGATCGGCCAGAATGTGCTCACAAATCCGACAGGAGATAGACTTCACAAAGTGCACAGGATAGTCCACCACAAGGAGCTTGGGGCTGAGGTGGATCTTACTGCAGTTGGCAATCTTCTTCATGACTTCCTTATTGCTGACCTTGGCCCGAGCCCTTCTCCTGAACTTGCAGGCCTGTTTCCTGCGCTCAGCCACAGTTTTGAGTTTTTTGCTGAGCTGTAGATTTAGCTGATGACGCTTTCTCTTCAGGCCCCGACGGGCAGCCTGGCAGACATCACAGGACGGGGAGTGGGGGTACCACTCCATGGCTACCTTCCTGGGGAACTGAACCTCACATGGGGCACGGCCAACCTTCCTATACATGATGCTCCAGCATTTGTGGCAGAACTCAGTGGGGTGGATGGAGTCAACATCCGCTTTCACATCGATCCGGAAAACCTTGACAATGAGGTCTGGCCATGAAGTGACTCTCTTCTCCTTTTTTCTCAAAAGGCCTTGGGTTTTACCATCCACAGGCCCATGGACTGGGTAGCTCCTATTGTGCACATCACTTTTGAAAGAACTTCCACAGATGCGGCAGAGATGGCGAAGGTTGGCTTGGTGACTTGTTTTCTCTCTCGCTTTTCTATTGCCACAGGATAGCTTCAAAAACTTGGAGTGAGGCTTTAATGCCGGTTGAGTCACGGCTGGCTTCTGGCCACCAGCCTTGTCTGGAACTGCAGGAGATTGCTCCAGGCAGGGTCTCCCCTCTGAGGATTCTTTCTTTTCCGTTTGAGCTTCTTCAGATGTCTTTTCAAAGGATCTCACCCTGAAGAGTTTAAATTTCCATTCTGAAAATTTAATGTATGGGTGTTGGATTTCCTCTGGTGCAGAATTGAGTCCCAGGCTGGGTGACACAGAGACAGCCATGCTGGCCAAGGTATCTGGAAATAATGAAAAGAAGTCAGATTAGGGGGAAACGCAGAGAAGGTACGAGAAGGAAATTTTTTTTGTCTTTGAAATTTATTTCCCACTGACACATTTTAGAAGCAACAAGAATGAAAATACTTAATACTTCATCCATTAATTCAACCAAAATGTTGCTTATTAGACTCTCTGTTTTAAGGTACTATTTAGGTACTGACTGGACAGCAGAAAATAGCCCTTTCTTGTCCTTACAGAGCTTATAGTCATTTATACTTTGAATCACAGTGATAATGACTCTTAATACAAGTTGAAGTGTATATGTGGGGGGAGGGGGATATACTTTCCTTAAGATCTCTGGCAATTAAATCTTTAAGGAAAGCTAGTCTTTATCTCCCTAGGGTTTCTATTACACATGAGGTACTCAATATTTATTTGATATGTAAATCGATGGATGGCTAGGTTGGCCAGTAAAACCCAAACCGGGCCTATTTTTCTATACTGTATTAGCCTCCTTGCAATAGCTGGACAAATTTTTCCCAGCTTCTTTTACAGCCGTCTTCTGGGAGATTAGTTATTTGTTTCTTCCAAATGAGTCAGAAAAGGCATGATAAAGCAACAGACCCGAAGAAACTAATTACTCAATACTTCAAAGGATGAAGTGAATGTTGAGCTTTATGAATGCAAACTAATAATAAGTATCATGGACACTAATTATGCTTACACTTTTAATTAGCGGATGCTGCTGTGAATTGTAACACCATGTCTACATTTTGAACAACACAGAATGCTGGAAACCTGCAGCAAACCATGATGATATATAAACCAAGCTTCTGAAGGATTTTCAAGAGGGAAAATGAAAGTGCTTTCAGATGAAACTTGCACAGATCATCCTCAAGGTCACTACCGGTCCATGGCTACTAGCTCTGTCATTTTAATAGGTGGTGGGAGAAATATCTTTCTTCTGGTAAAATACGACATCATACAGCATCATCACTAAAGCTCTGTTAATGATGATAACTTTAATGATGATAATGATATACGACATCATCATTAAAGTTAAGGCATTATATCTCCCTGAGTCCCTGAAGAATTACAAATGCCTCTATTAAAAAATATATAGCATCACCAATCAGTTACTGTCCAAATTCAAATTTGTTGATTAGATTGCTTTTCAATTCAACTGCTATAGCCTATCTTTAAAGCCTCTTCATCCTGACATCAATATTAATTTTTTTTAAAAACCCAAAAAAGTCTAAAAATACTATTTAACTGATATATAGATCCAGTTAGCTCAATCTTCCCCAAATCGTTCACGTAATAACTAAACTAACTAGCATCTGTGTTTCCATTTCTAATCTGTGTTCCTCAAATTTTCCTAGGTAAATCTTTTGACCCACCAATTATGTCATCTATCATCTCCTCTTCCAGTTAATTTGCTAACCAAGTCAATTTGAGTTTTGCTGTGTTTTTATACTGGAGAAGACACATCCTTGGATAAACACATCTGCAAGTAGAAAGAGTAATGTCAAAGTTAATCCTGACCCCTGCTAACAATATTTCTCACTAAGTGGTCTCTTTATACTACTTACTGTTGTAATTTTGATGCCTCCTTTTCAGAAATTGATGCAAATATCTCAACGACAGTCAAACAAGGACCTTGAAGTTGTTTCTAGTTCAAGCACATTTCTTAAACCTATTCTATGTTATCAGGCAATGGAAATGTCTATCTGCATCTCTCTTTTCGTGTTGCATTGACTTCATCCTTAAATGCCTTTTTCATTCATTTACCCTTCACTGCCAGCCTTGTTCTAAGGCATTGGTTTTCTGACACTTCAAGATAATACTTTGAGAACCTGTATAAAGCTACCTGATCATCTCTGGGGCTAATCAGATGAAATACTGAATTTAAGGCATTGAAAGAGTCAGCCAGAACTGAAGTTAGAACTATCTCCTCTCCTACCTACTGCCCCCTACTGGTTGAGTTAAAGTGTAGCTCCTGAAGTTCCTGAGGAATTGCAAACACCTCTATAGAAAGAATGCCATTTCAAGCAGTTCTTTATTAGCCATTAACACTCAAATTAAAAATTACTTACTAGATTTTTTCAATTTAACTGACAGAAGTTCATTCAAACTAGAATCAAGATACATAGAAGGGAAGTGGTGGTGGTGTTAATTTTTAAAGCACATGAAGGAATACACATTAAGATTCTGATGGAAGTAAGGGACTTTTATATTTAAGTCATTGCCTAAATTAACCTATATTAATTCTAGGTTATCAGCACAACTCTTTATAGACTATGTCACCAGAGCTCCCCAACTTGTAACTTGCATTACTTTTGAAAAAAATAACATTTTTAAGAATCATAATTATAAAATAACATTTTAAACCCAGCAGATTAGCAAAGATTAAAAGTGGTTGAAACGACTTAGCATAAATAAAGTTAACTAGTTAATTAAGGAAGCAGCGTATATTGGTATAATCATTTAAATGAACAATTCAGGGAAATTGTAAATATGTTTTCTCTCAAAACTGTGGATATGAATTCTCTCAAAATTTTATATATGTATTTTCCTTGGTGCTATATATCTGCTTTTAGGAAGTTATTTTACATCTCCATTGGTACACAGACATATTTCTTTAGAAAGAGAAAAAGAGATATTTTATTTTTAAAAATATTATAACTTTGAAAACTATAAAACAACATAATCATCATCAGAAGGTCATTAGTAAATGGGAAACCACAAGAAATGTAAAATTTCTATATGTTTTGTTTTCTGTATGTAGTGATTCATTTGTGCAATTTCTATAACACACTGGTGATACAGAAAGATGCTCACGTTAAAAAGCAGAAAACAGAACAGTAGCAAAATGTAGTAGGCCCACGTGTATGCAAATATGTCCATATTTGTATGTTCTTGAAAGTACGGACATTCTGGAAGACTATATGATAAAATCTTACCTGCATGTAATTTCTGGACAATAGACTAGGTATTGGCCTATTTTCATTTTATTCATTTTTATATCATTTTATTTTTTTACAATAAATACATTATTGCATAACATTTTGTCATAGTTCATTTTGGACATCTTAACAATGCAATTTATAGGTACCTGTAGTCACTTTTCTACGTTTCTTCCAAAAGTTCCCTCAGAAAACTTTAAGACTTGATTAAGTCTCACATTTCACCCTCAGTCTTGGTTTTCTTATCCCTTCTGGTAAACACATAGAAAGAAGACTAAAAACGAACATGTTTTAGTTTAGACAGCATGAAAGGAGCCCTGGCAGCTTGTGATTAAGTGCTTGGCTGTTAACCAAAAGGTCAGTGGTTTGAACCCAGTAGTGGCTCTGTAAGAGAACAGTGGAGCTGTCTGTTTTCATAAACATCTCAGCTTTGGCAATCCAGGCGGCCTGCCCTACACTTTAAAATGACTAGATGGCAGTAAGCGCTGTGTAGGCAACATGAAGTCGGGATTATGAAAGAGAGCTCTTGTAGTCATTGCTAAGGCATCCAGAAATTTTGCAAATGCTTGTTCTTCCCTCTTCTATCAAAAGGTCTCAGAAATAGAAATAGACCTGTCTCAGAATCTTAAAACAGGCTTGGGGTAGATGCTAGCTTAATGCTATTCCCATGAGACATCTCATAATTTATCATCTTTGTCATCACAGATTCATGTTGACAATCCAGTCTTGGGCAGCTTGCACTAGCCCAGAGTTTGTGTGGCTAATGCTGTCATTAACACTTCCAGGAGGTTGGGTCACAAAGAGACCTCCGCCCTGCTCTCCATTCTCATTCCAGCTCTTGGTCTGAAAAAAATAATATAGCCCACTGACAATCTCCCCGGATCATCTTCAAAGTGGTTTATTTCCCAGTGAACATTACCTGGAAATGTGCCCAGTCTGGAATATTGTGCCCAGATATGAGCCCTCAACTTTGTTTGTCTACTTATTCATACATTCCCCAAGCACTATTTATTGTGTACTACTAGCTAAACACCATGCATTAAAGCCTTTTTTCTAAGTCTTGAGTCCCATAATATGATCCCCATAACCTTGCCCTGCTTCCAGACAACTCTTTGCTTGTACCATCTCAGAAACCCTCACAACTCTTGTTCAGGACGCTTGACTCAGAAACACGACCTCAAAGCAGGGGGCAAGTCCCTAAATCAAAATCTAACCAAATTGCTGGGAAATTTATGTTCAAATCATTCCATTTCAGAGACACAGATTCTGTTTGCCTGGGATGGAATCCAGAAATTGGTATTTTACAACGAGCATCCCAGTCAGTTATCCTGAAAGATCCACAGGTCACACTTTAAAAATTACTGGACTTCTACTTAGTCCAATCTAGACCAGAACATTCCTGGCAGGACTTGGCAATCCCTGGAAATAAAAGACTTTTCTTCCCACCCTAGAATTTGTTAGCTCCTGATTCTTTTCCTGACTTGGACTACACGTAATTTCTCTCCGGGAGTCTTACCCTCTCTTTCTGCTGACTCACCTGCTTATTCACTCAAGAAGAACTTTGTTTGACATTGTTGTAAACACAGGGAGCTCTGGTGGCCTAGTGGTAAGAAGCTGTGCTGCAATCCCAAAGTTTCAGATCTACCAATTGCCCTGCAGAAGGATGGACAATCTCTTACCCTGTGTTTATAGCCACTGAAAACGAGCTGGAGGGCCAGCTGTGAATGGGTTCTGACTCACCAGCATGCAACAACAACAACTTGTTGTAAATCTACAGATGACACACTATTTGTTCATTTCACTTCCTTCACGCCTACAATTCAATGACACCGATTACATTAATTACTTTGTGGAAGCATCACCCGTATCTTCTGCCAAATTCAAAGCAGCTCTCCCTTTAGTGAATATAATTAATGCCACCAAATTTCCTCTGTGAAAAGAAATGTTGAGATGACAAATATTTACATGCAAGCATCACAGTTTTAAAATTTTTTCAACAGAAGTGGAAAATTTTTAAAGAGAAACACTCCTTAAACTCTTCCTATCCCTGGCCTTCATTTGTGATGAATTGGATATTTTGCATTTTCTCTTTAAGCCTTCATTGTCTTCTTGCTTGGTTCCTATTTTCAAACAGTAGAAAAGCCAGAGTGATGTCAGCATTCCTTACTCCCTCCCCTCGCCCCTTGCAAAGAAAAACAAAAAGTCCAAGTGTTTCTGATTAGAAACAGAAAAATGTAATCAACATTGTGGCTCAAGGCGTGAAAAGTACGAGTGTTACCTTGCTCAGCAGGCTGCCTGGTCAACTTGTTAGGATGTCTGTAATTCAGTTGATATTACTAGATACCAAGCAGAACTCAAAGGGTCTTTCTCTCCCTCCTTGTTCTCACGTCCTTCAGAGCGGACTCCAGTGTTACTTATCAGTCTCCTTCTCAACCCCACCACTACCAGAGAACTAACCACAAATCATGGCAGCCAATCAGAGGCCAGGAGCCCCAGCTCCAGCTGGCACCTGGCACTTCAGGAAGCTGAAGGGGGTGGGGGTGGTCCTGAATGTAGAACAATACAAGGTAGGTGTGCTGCAGCATCGCCAAAGCGGCCTGTTAACTCCCCAAGATGTCTGGGTGAGAAATAACTTCTCAACCAATACTCTGTGCCTCAGAGTTCTTAACTGTAAAACAGAAATATGAACAGCATATATGAATAGTATAAGCCTCAAGGTAAATCTCAACAGCGTTACTGTGATAACTATGATAAAAAAAAATAAATACTTGAAACAAGGCTTGGTTCATAGTAGATGTTCATCAAATATTAACTATACTCTTTTTTTATAATAGTATATTGTTCTTTTATATAACAGTCTATTGGGAATTTTGCTGCTGACCCCAAATCTGGAACTCGGGCAGTTTGAGTCTCCTAAGGAGAAAGATAGGCAGCTTCATCTGGTACAATTTATTATCTCTAAGCCTAGAGAACAACAGAGTGAGAGATGTGAAGATGGTGTGACATTCCACAGCCCATTGGCTTTGTTTCCTGATGCTGACATAAAAGACAAGTGGGGGACTTTAAAGAGAAGAAATTTATTTTCTCACAGTTCTGAAGGCTCGAAGTCCAAATTGGGGCCCCAGGAGTGTGGGCGCCTCCTTGTTGGTAGTTTCAGGACATCCTTGGTTCTTTGCTCTCTAAAGAATCTTTACGTGACAATTGTCTTCCCTTGTGCATGAGTGTGTTTATGTCTAAAATGTTGGGGGGGTTTTATGAACTCAGGATGATTAGATCTAGAACTCGCTCTCTTCTGATACAATCTAACGCTATTTCCAAGTAATATAGAGGTTAGAATTCCAACATAGATGTGAGTGGAGACAATTTGATGCCTAACAAGTGTGTTGTTAACCTCCCGACTATACTTTAAAAGAGGAACAAGGAACCTCTCCTCATAGAAATAGCATGAGGATAACTTTAGAATGCACTTCACTAAGCCTAGGCGAGTCTCTGCTTCACATCTCCTTTGCGATTCGTATACCAGCTTTATCCCCAAAGCACCTCTGTGTTCAACTAATATTTGAGGAATTGTCTTGCCCTCGTCCGATTCTTAGCAAAAATTGTCAAGGAGGCTGGTGTGAAGAATCCCCTGTGTGGTGAAGCTCTCATTAAATATCCCTCTTTTGTCCCCACTGTTTTGAGCTTGGACATTTCCAACCACACAACAACCCTGGGGACACAGCTTCTGATCACTGAGGTAAAGATGGGGCAGAAACAACTTCAGTGTTATTAGAAGAGGAAACAAGCTTGAACTTTCTAGGAGCTTCAGTGTGTTTATGCCCAAGGGGATGGAACCGTCATTTCCTATTTGAAAAGACAGTGTGAGAGTGGGCAGATGGAAACTGAGAATAGCAGAAAGAAGTCACCTATGTCACAGTAGCAGGAATCGGCCTTCTGGGGAACTGAATCTTTGGGTCTTGATGGCCTCTTCATACAGATAATCAAATAGAGAAGACCCCCAATCTGACTTACCCAACCCAGCCTGCCCATCCACAGCTTTACAGCATTTTATTAACAAAAAGAAAATAAGATGGTTAGAAGTTCCTGTACCAACTTGAGCAGTATTGAGCTTTCAAGGATCAGGCTTTGCTTTCTAAGAGATTTCTTTGGAAGTTAAGGGAAACAAGGGTGAACAATCATTCTGGCTTAGCCAGCCCATTCTAGAGATTTAAACAGGTTCTTCTCTGTCCAGTCATGGCCAATCAAGAGATTCACAACAGACTTGAATTTCTGAAATATTAATGAATTGAAATGAAAGCTCCAACGGGGGGGGGGGGAGTCCTCCAGGGTTGGTTACCTTGTAGAAACTTATTTCCCTGTGAGAAAACGTGAGCAACATGGGTGTTGCATATTAATACAACCTGTTGACCAGCAGAGTTGGGAATAATGGTGTCGGGCCCAGGGATGGTGGCAGATTGAAACACTTTGCTAACCAAAAGCTATGAATGTAGAGGATCTGTGGAAGAAAGACTTGGTGATCTGCTTCCCTAATATCCTCACTGCTACCTTCCTGACTCCAAATCACAGGACTCTCTATCAGGTTTCCAAGGCTACAAACCATACCTGGAGTAGGAAGCCCATCTTCCTGACAAGCTACAGCCAATGGATTTAAACTGTCAACCTTTTGGTTAGTACTGCAACCACTACACATGCTGTTACTTCAAAACTCTAACTGCCAAGTAGGAAGCGACTCACAGCTGATCTCCACTGGCTCTCTGAGGTTATAAAGCCGGAGAGGAGATGGCCCATCTTCCTCCTCTGGAGCTTGTAGGGGATTCAAATCCCCTGAGAGGCAGGCCTTTGATTAGCAGTGCAACCCCTTATGTACTTGGCCACCGGAGCTCCCTAATGATTGCTGCTGTTGTTGTGAGCAACAGATTTGAACTCTGTGCTGTCCTAGAGATTACAGCCTAGAAAACCCCAATCAAAAACTGACTCGATGGCACCTAACAAAAACAACAAACATCTTTGTTTCAAATTTAAAAAACAAAACAAAACACACAGTGCAGTCAGAGCTGCCTAGGATTCCCAGATGCAGGAGCAAATTAAAAATAAAACCACTGCCCGCTGACAGGTCTGAGCCAAATTTAGCAAGAGGCAAAGAGTGAAAAGGGCAAAAGAGAGCCTGGGCGATTCCGTGCCAGGCCCCTGCCTGCCTTGAGCACAGCCCTCCCAGCGGAGTGATTAGCCCGGGTCAGTCCTGGAAGCGCCCACAGCTCTTCCCTGGCTCAGCTCCTCTTGGGCATTAACGTGCTGCCTCCTGGGCACGTAGTGCCTGCAATGTCTCCTTCCGCCTGCCTCTCTAGCCTCGCCCCAAACCCTCCTTAGCTGGCTAGCCTACACTTATCCCCTGGCCCCCCACAGGCCCTTTAAAGAGACCTTTTCAAATTCAATTTCTTTCCAAAAAGCAATGAGCTCCAGTTGCTGATATCAATCAAAATCTACTCGGGCAGACGTGGTCTGAGAGTGTGAACACTGCATTTTACACTCTTATCATAATCCAGCAGGGGCTGCTTACTGACACTGTGATTACATATATCGTATGAGCATGTATCTATCTAGCTCCAGCTAGCAAAAAACTCTTGTCTTCTAACATCAACAAATTGAGTGGCAGAGCTGGCTGGAAATTTAGGGGTTATCTGATGCCATGGATGCATCTTTATAGATGAGAAACAGCCCCTGAAGGGCAGCATGTCCTGCTCAATGTCACAGGAGGAAATTAGCTGCCGAAATGGCATTAGAATCCAGGTCTCCAAGATGCCAGGCCAAGGTTCTTTCCATTACACATCAAAGACGGAACAGCATCCCTCCCTCTGCCCCCGTGTCATCTCTTTTAGCCTGGACTGGAGTGGACGCTGAAGCAGAACCTCGTCAGGTCGCTGCTAGATTAGTGCCACGGTCAGTGACCACGCGAACCTGCCACCGCCCGGGCGGAAGGGAGAGCCAACATCCCTCCGCGCTCGTCTCCCCCACTTCTCCAGACTTGAAATTGCTCTCTAATTAACTCAACGTGGATTATCCCTGTTGGTAAATTTTCTAATGCGTTATTAATTGCTCCAAACGTCAGCTGCAGCTCATTCCCCGGAAATTCAGGCGTGCCGCAGAGGGGCTTGCCCATGGCAGTTTGGCGGTTTTGTAAGCAATGAGTGCCATCGTGTGGGAGATTAAAATTACTACATCGGAGAAAATCTGTTCTCAAGAAGTTAAGAAGGCTGTGTATCGGCTAAGCAGACATTGTCCACCTGGTTCTTTTCTCTGCTCCCTTTATTCCAGGCCTCTACCCTTTCATGGTACCACAGCCAGGAAATTGAAAGACAAATTGGGAAAGTCAGCTGTCAGAGTCCTCTCCAAAGTACTGAAGAGCAGCAATGTCAGTCTGGAGACTAAGGTGCGCCTGATATAAGGCCATGGTCTTTTCAATGACTTGCGACGCATCAGAGAGCTGGATAATGACTAGTGATGCTAGAAGCAGAGTTGATGCCTTTGAGCTGTGGTGCTGGAGAAAAGTACTGAATATACCATGGACTGGTAGAACAAACAAACAGGTTTGTCCTGGAGAGGGGAAAGCCAGGCTGCTCCTTGGAGGCAAGGATTCTGAAGCTTTGTCTGACATACTTTGAACATGTTGCAAGGTGGGAACAGTCCTTGGAGAGGAGCATCATGCTTGGGAGGGTGGAGGGACAGCGCAGGAGAGGAAGACCCTTAATGAGATGGGTTGATTCAGTCACTGAGGTAATGAGGGCAGGTGTGTCAGAAATAAGATTGGCAAGGAATAGAGCAGGGCTTAGGGCTGTTGTACATTGGTTCATTATGAGTCGCAGGTGACTCAGTGGCACATAACAACAACAACCATCTCATCCTCATCTCCTTCACCATTGTCTACTTTTAAAAACATGCTGCAGCAGAGTTGATTTTGTTACAGCAACAGTGTGGATGTGGGATTAGAATTGCCATAGGGTTTTCAACAGTTATAATTTTGCAGAAAAAAGCCATGGCAGCACAATGATTAACCACTTGCCTACTACCTGAAAGGTTGATGGTTCAAATCCACTGAGCTACTTGGCAGTAGAAGGGCCTTTACAGAAGGTGATCCACTTCTGTAAAGATTGTTGTTATTGTTGTTGCAGTGTGCCATAGAATTAGAACTGACCCTCCAGGGGGGTTTCAGAGGCAGTTAATTGCATGGAAGGAGATTGCCCATCTTTTGCCCATGGAGCAGCTGGGGGACTCGAACAGTATACTTTGGAATTGCATCACAGCTTCTTGTCACTGACTGTGGCCACTGGCTGTCACGTAGAGTCTCTACAAATCAAAACCCAACGTGAGGGCACTTTTATAAAACAGTA